GAGCTGATATCATGTTTGCTTGTGGCAGAACAAAATAATGAACTTTTATTGAGAAACCACCAGTCCCGTCCAACTGGATCGACACCAATCCCAGAAACATATGTTGCCTCATCCCGTGGTCGTGGACGCGGACGTGGACGTGGTCGTGGTGGTAGAAATGAATATGGTCGTGGCAAAAATAACTACCACAATAATGAATATGGTCGTGGTAGAAATCATTCTTATTATCGTGAAGGATATCAATCCTCACATTTTCGCAATCAGAGATCCACACCATATCCTCAAAGGAAAGATCATAATGAAATGAGACACGTAAAAGGAAAGGATGTGGCTCAACATTCCAAGGCTCATGATAATACTTGCTATCGGTGTGGCATGACAGGGCATTGGCAAAGTATTTGTCGTACACCGAAGCATCTAGCTGATCTGTATCAAGCCTCAATAAAAGAAAAGGGAAAACAAAAGGAAATGAATTTCCTTGATCATGATGAGCCAATTGACACCACAAATCTGGAAATGAATTTCATTAATCATGATGAGCCAGTTAACATCACCAATCTGGATGTATCAGATTTTTTTGATGATCGTGATGGAAGGATAGACTTCCTGATTGGTGATGGAAATGTCCACACTAGTTAATCTTATGTTTCTTTTATGTACTGTCTACTATGCTTTTTATTGTCCTTGTACTAAAGTTTTTATTTTCTAGTTTGTATTAAAGGTTTTTGTTATAAAAGTTTTTTTTTCTGATAAAGAAATTTGCATGAATAGGAATGGATCTGACTAGTTCCAAAATAAATGGTGAAGACATATGTCTTGCAGATAGCGGAACAATGCATACAATCCTTCGAGATCAAAAATATTTTTCCCACTTAACTCTGACAGACGCTAATGTCAGTACCATATCAGGTCCCACCGACTTGATTGAAGGCTCCGGACGAGCCAACATCATTTTACCACATGGAACTAGATTACAAATCAATGACGCCTTATATTCTACAAGATCTCGGAGAAATCTGCTGAGTTTTAAAAACTTGCGTCGTAATGGGTATCATATTGAGACTGCAAATGAAAGAAATGTTGAATATCTCTACATTACTTCCATTACCTCAGGTAAGAAACTGATATTAGAAAAACTCCCTGTATTCTCTTCTGGGTTATACTATACAACCATTAGAACAATTGAGTCAAATGTTGTGATCCATAAAAAATCTTGTGACCCAAAACTTTTTATACTTTGGCATGATCGACTTGGTCACCCAGGGAGTACAATGATGTGTCGAATTATTGAAAATTCACATGGTCACCCACTAAAGGATCAAAAAATCATCTTACCAAATAATCATCTATGCACCGCCTGTTCACAAGGTAAGTTGATTATCAGACCATCCCCTTCAAAAGTCATTGTTGAGTCTCCTCCATTTTTGCAACGAATTCATGGGGATATATGTGGGCCAATCCATCCACCATCTGGACCATTTCGTTATTTTATGGTCTTAATTGATGCATCAACACGATGGTTACATGTTTGTCTACTTTCTACTCGTAATATTGCATTTGCTAAACTTCTTGCTCAAATCATCAAATTACGGGCACACTTTTCTGATTACCCAATTAAGACAATTTGTCTTGATAATGCCGCTGAATTTTCTTCTCAAGCTTTTGATGATTATTGCATGTCAGTTGGAATTTATGTTGAACATCCTGTTGCACACACTCATACTCAAAATGGTATGGCTGAATCTTTTATTAAAAGACTTCAGCTAATTGGTCGTCATTTGCTTATGCGAACAAAATTACCTGTTTCTGCCTGGGGTCATGCCATATTGCATGCTGCATCATTAGTTCGTATACGACCAACTGCTTATCATAAGTACTCACCATTACAACTTGTTTTTAGACAACAACCAAATATCTCCCACATACGAGTTTTTGGTTGTGCTGTATATGTTCCAATTGCACCACCCCAACGCACTAAAATGGGTCCTCAACGTAGACTTGGAATTTATGTTGGTTTTGATTCTCCATCTATTATTAGATATCTTGAACCCCTGACAGGTGATGTCTTCAAAGCACGATTTGCTGACTGTCATTTTGATGAGACTGTTTTCCCATCATTAGGGGGAGAAAAGGTACAGCAGCAACGTGATCTTACTTGGAATGCCCTGAAATTGTCTCATTTTGATCCTCGTACAAACCAATGTGAACGAGAAGTTCAGAGGATCATTCACTTGCAAAATATTGCAAATCAATTACCTGATGCATTTACTGATACAAAGAAAGTGATAAAATCACATATACCAGCTGCAAATGTACCAGCACGAATTGCTGTCCCTGAGGGACCTTCTGTCAGTAATGCAGCAAATGCATCTAAAACACGCCTGAAGCGTGGTAGACCAGTTGGTGCAAAAGATATTGTTTATCGTAAGAAGAAATCACAAAGAAAAGTTGGCACTCCTGAAGAGGCCACAAAAAGAGCAACAGATATTATTGATCAATCTGAGATAATAGCCTTTGATAAGGCAGATACTCTTGATGAGTCTCAGGTACCTAAAAAGATGAAATAATAAATATTGATGAGGCAAAAGCAACAGATGATGATGTGGCCCTTAATGAGGCAGATGCTCTTGATGAGGCAAAGGTACCTGAAAATGATGAGATCTCATTAAATTATGAAACGAGATGGAATAGAATTGAAATTGTTGTCGACAACATATTCTCATATCTTGTTGCTCTTAATATTGAAAATGAGAATTCGGAACCTCAAAACGTCGAAGAATGTCGATGAAGAAATGATTGGCCAAAATGGAAAGAAGCGATACAAGCAGAGCTAAATTCATTAGCTAAACGTGAAGTATTTGGACCAGTAGTCCGGACACCTGAGGGTGTTAATCCTGTTGGGTACAAATGGGTGTTTGTACGAAAGCGTAACGAGAAAAATGAAATCGTGAGATATAAAGCCCGACTTATAGCTCAAGGTTTCTCACAAAGACCTGGTATTGATTATGAGGAAACATATTCCCCTGTGATTGATGCAACTACTTTTAGATTCATAATACATTTAGCAGTCACAGAAAGATTGCATATGCATTTAATGGACGTGGTTACAGCATATTTATATGGATCACTAGATAGTGATATTTATATGAAAATCCCGGAAGGATTTACAATGCCTGAAACAAAACCACGTAATATGCACTCAATAAAATTACAACGATCCTTATATGGATTGAAGCAATCTGGACGAATGTGGTATAATCGCCTTAGCGATTACTTACTCAAAGAAGGGTATGTGAACGGTCATATTTGTCCATGCATATTTATTAACAAATCAGAATCTGGTTTTGTTATTGTTGCAGTATATGTTGATGATCTGAACCTTGTGGGAACATTGGACAAGATCGAAAAGACAGCCACATATTTAAAGAAAGAATTTGAAATGAAAGATCTCGGAAAGTTGAACATCTTTCGAACGGTATTCTCATCATCAATCAACATATACAGAAAAGATTCTGAAACGTTTTCATATGGATAAAGCATATCCATTGAGCTCCCCAATGGTTGTCCGATCACGGGACATCAAGAAAGATCATTTTCGTCCTCATGAAGATGATGAAGAACTCCTTGGCCCTGAAGTGCCCTATCTCAGTGCGATTGGTGCTCTTTTGTATCTTGCAAATTGCACAAGATCTGATATAATTTTTCCAGTCAATTTATTAGCACGGTACAGTTCTGCACCAACTCGCAGACACTGGAATGGAATCAAACACATATTGCGATATCTTCGTGGCACAACTGATATGGGCTTGTTTTATTCGAAAGCACCAAAGTCTCCATTAGTTGGATATGCAGATGCCGGCTATCTTTCTGACCCACATAAAGCTTATTCACAAACAGGGTATGTGTTTACCTGTGGCGGCACAGCTATATCATGGCGATCGATGAAACAGACAATGATTGCCACTTCTTCAAATCATTCTGAGATACTCGCAATTCATGAGGTAAGCAAGGAATGCATTTGGTTGAGATCAATGATCCAGCATATTCGAACAACATGTGGTCTCTCATCAATAAAAGAAAGTCCAACAATATTATATGAAGATAATGCGGCATGCACTGCACATAGAAAGAAGGGTATATTAAAAGTGACAGGACCAAGCACATCTCACCAAAATTCTTTTATGCACATGAACTGCAGAAAAATGGTGATATTGATATTCAGAAGATACGTTCATGTGAAAATCTAGCAGATTTATTCACTAAAACGCTTCCAACTACAACATTCAAGAAGCTGGTGCACAACATTGGAATGCGTCAACTAAAGGATCTTCAGGGTTGATCTAATGAGGGGGAGCAATTCATCAAAGAGGTATTGGCATGCTGTACTCTTTTTCCTTCGTCCAGATTTTGTCCCACTGGGTTTTCCTGGCAAGGTTTTAATGAGATAGTTTTAATCTATGTAATACCATTTTCAAGATACATAAGAATTTTGTACTCTTTTTTCTTCGCTAGGGTTTTGTCCCACTGGGTTTTCCTTAGTAAGGTTTTAATGAGGCATATTTTTAGTGTAGTTTTGTGGACCCCAAGGGGGAGTGTTATAGAGATATACACTTGTTGTGGGCTCCACAAATTTATTAAGTCATACATGTAATTATAGTCTTTATGGCTTACAAAGAAAGATTGCTATGGAAGCGTACTGAAGAAGCCATTAGTGAAGCCTATAAAAGGCATTGGGCATGTACAATTTTGAAATGAGAAAAAATCTGAAATCTCATTCTCTGTTCGTCCTCTCTCTCTTTCTTTCTGAGTCTCTTTGTTTGTCCTCTCTCTCTCCGTTCATTATTCTCTCCCTATATATTTACACGTACACGTATATTTATTACACTTTCATTATTAATTTTGTAACTTTTAGATAGTCTCTTTGGGCCATGTCACCTCCTGTGGGACCTAGTTGGTCCTTGGTTCTGGGCAAGAACCAAGTACTGTCTCTTGTAAAGCGAGTCTTATCCGGACTACCTGAGTCTCATATATATATATAGCTTCTCACCACTCTAGCTCCAAGTTGTGTGTACCAACTTCATTATCGTTGAAATCAACCCATCAGCAAAGCTCTCCATCTCTCTCGAATGCTTCGCAAACCATAGGTATGCATTTTCTTTCTAAACCTTGATGGTGATCTCTTTTATAAGAAACAAATATATATATAGATACATGTACATGTATACGAAGGATTTAATTTCTAGAAGTTATGGAGGAGTTTCAGAACATGGGGTCATGAAATGGGTCACTTTGTTTCTTTGAAATATTCTTTTTTGTGCAGTGTCTTCTTAGCAACATCAATCCCTTTTCTGCGCATTGTGGAAATTAGGGCATGAAATGCTAGGGTTTCATTTTGTTGCATTTGGGTTGTGGGATTATCCATGTATTTCAATGGGTTCAACATGAACCCACCTTTCAAAAAAAAAGATGTATCTGAACTTTTATTTGCCCAACCCACTCCATTTCATGCCCTAATTTCCACATTGCCCAAAAAGGCTTTGTGTTCAAAATTCATGGATTCATACATAAATTTATAATAATAAGCTCTTCGCATTGTTCATAAGTCTAATTTAGCAGTTCATATTTCTTTGTAGTTGTTGATTTTATCACAAAGTCATGGATTCAATTTCAAAACGCCAAAATTTTAGCCAGAAAGTGAAAATCAAGGAAAGTGGAGTAGACAGGATTAGCAACTTACCAAGCAGTGTTATGGGTCATATCCTCTCCTTTCTTCCAACAAAATATGCTGTGGCCACTAGTGTTTTATCAACCAAATGGAAGTATCTTTGGACATCACTAACTACTTTAGACCATGATGATGAGTTGCTATTGGTATCTTTCGGTCCTCGGAATAGCACCAAACAAAAAATTCAGGAAATGAGCTTTATAAAATTTGTCTACAGAGTTTTTATGCTCAATGTATCAGATTTGAGGGATCTCCATCTGAAATGTAGTCGGATTGATGATGTTTCACATCTTAATGCATGGATTTCAGCTGCAGTGGCACGAAATGTTCGGGAAATATATATTAGTCTCCCTGTGAAGGAGTATAATGCGACTCGTGACCTCTTTACCTGTAAAAGTCTGGTGGTATTTACACTATGTGGGAAATTTGTTCTAAATGTTCCTACTTCAGTTTGTTTACAGAACCTTAAAATCCTACGCCTTGTACTCGTTACATTTTCGGATGACTCAATTAATAGGCTCTTCCCTAGCTGTCCTATGCTTCAACATTTCTCTATGATAGCCTGTGTTTGGGTTAACGTTGGGGTTTTTAACATTTTTGCTCCTTCTCTCAAGAGTTTGAGTATAAGGGGAATATCTTGTCATGACAATACATTTTCTTGGAAGCATAAGATTGTGCTTAATGCCCCAAATCTTCAACTCCTTGATTACAATGACTATGTAACAGAAGGCTATTCAATGAACAACTTAAATGCTCTTGTCCAGGCGAAAATTGTATTATTCGGTACCTCTGTTCGTGATAATTCTGTAAAAGAACTTGTTGAAGGAATATCTAAAGTTCAGCGGCTTCATTTATCCTGTTTTTCCATGGAGGTTTGCTTGCTTAACTCTTGCTTTTTTATTGGTGATTCTCTTTTATGCCCAAATGTATGTTGACCTGGATATGCATCTGCTTTGCTAATTTGATATATTGTTCCTCTTTCTTTTCGGCGTTCAATTGACTGCTTTTTTTTCCCTGCTTGAAATGGCTCTTCAATTCTGCTGGTATGTGCTGCCAAGGTTTAATTGTTCGACTTTTTTTGAAGCTTGGTCGTTTTGATCGATGGGAATTGCTACTGAGGTTGCTTGAAAGCTCACCACAACTGGAAACTCTTGTTTTTGAGGTAATCTGTGACGTACTAAATAATTTTGATTAACCTCTTTGATTTGTGGGAAAAATTATTGTAGTAAGTAAATGGTTGTTAAGTCAATTTATATTTCCTTTCTGGGTAGGGATGTTTACCCTATAAGCACAACGGAGACAGCGATCATTGAGATCCACCTCAGCATGTGCCTTCTTGTTTGTTGTTTCATCTCAAGGAATTGAAATTAAATATTTTGATGGATTTGAAAAAGAGCTGAAAACAGCAGAGTATTTTTTAAAGAATGGTAAAGTTTTGAAGAAATTGATTATTCATATTTCTATGAATCCAAAAGAGTGGTTCAAAGTTAGCAAAAAATTATTGATGTTCTCAAGGGGTTCACAAAGTTGTCAAGTAGTGATTTCTTGATCTTCCTCCTTTGAGAAAAAAATCCTTCGTCACCTTGCTGGTTCTCTCTCTCTCTCTCTCTGTATATCTCTCTATGTTGCGAGGAAACTGTTGATGGAAAAGATACTCACCGTCTCTCCCTCCCTCCCCAAGTACAATGGAAGCTCATATGGTTGTGTAATTGACCTAGTTTTGATATGGGATGGTGCTGCAATAAATCCAACATATACATACATAATTTTTGTCATTTAAATACACGTCATCACAAAATAACAATTAACAAATGGCATACCTATTTTACACAATAAAATTTCATATACAACATTTGTATCACATCTCAAGGGATCTACACCAATTAAGCATGCTAGTATCAAATTAATGAAGGAAAAATTCACTGAGGGCAAAGTATACATGAATTAGAGCACCCCTACCTCAAATTTGTAGAAAAACTCCCAAATGGGTCCAAATTTTTAGAATTCTTAGAGTGACCAAAAGTTGAAATTATTTACACCCACGCGTAGATCTCGCCGTGCTCTCCGGTTTGCCGCAAACGGCACCCAAAAATTCCAAGTGGTTGAAGAGTAATAAAAAATAGAAGTTGTAAAAGAAAAAGAAAAAACAAAGTCAGCGGGAGAGAGAGAAAACTGGCCAAGAGAGATGGTGAGGTTTTGCTAAAATGATTTGGCTATAAAGCTATTATATTTGTTATAATATCATGTGGGTCCCACCATTTTTAATTATCTTTTTCTTTTATTTTTCTTCTAATTTTTTTTTTTACCACAAAATTATATACATGCACAACCATATAAAACCCACATAACACATTAAATAAAATATATGAGATGCACATGGACCTAACTAAAATCCCTGTATGCAACAATTCCAGTACCAAGTCCCACACGGGACCATCTGGCCCGAGAAACGAAAAAATGCAAAAATGACAACCATTGTATTTTTAGGAGTCCCGAACTCAAAGAAATGTCCAAATCAACTCTTGGACACACCCGGCACACCTTACGGTGTCCTATACGCAAAACAAGAAAAGACGAAAATACCCTTAAAAAATCTGAAAATTTTAAAAAAATAAAAAATGGCAAAAATGAGAAACATTACATTCTATGCCTGCTCTTGTCATAGTGTCAAAAGAGACTTGATATAAAGGACTGGGATCCTCTACTGTAAACAGGTCGTGCTGTACCCATGCTGTAGTGAAAATAGAAATTGTTTTTAAATTGGTAACGGTAGAGTCCAACGGAAAAAGGAACGACGTTAAAAAAAAAAAAAAAAAAAAAAAAAAAAAGTAAAAAAGGAAAATAAAATATCCTTTCTACCGCATCCCTACCAAAAAAAACAAACAGAAAAAAAAGGAAAACAAACTTCAGAGCCTCCTTCCCTTGTCGCCGTACGCCATCTCCCTTTCTCGTTACGGTGTATCTCAAAATAGCATATTGGGTACTGGGGTTTTCAGGCATCACTTCGTCCCTGTCTTGCGGCTGTATTTTCAAGTACTCACCCTTTCTTTCTCTCTTTTCCTCTTCATAAACCCTAACTCTCTCTCTCTAAAAATCACACTTATTTCTGCATAGTATATCATTAGAATCAAAAATTCAACATATAAATTTTGTATGCTGATTTTTCCTTTTTAATTTTCACGCTATTTTGGAAAGAAAACTTGGTTCTTCCATATAAACATCTTTTTTGTTGTAAATGAGAAAGATAAGAAACCAAATTTTGGGTTATTCTAATCTAAATTTAATTTCCTCCCATATATCAATTTACAATGTATAATATTCATACTGAAAATAAAATAAATATAGATAATTGATAATCCATAAAGTAAATTAATATGTGGAATGTGAATAATTTATATTTAAGTAAGACAACTTTATATTATATATATGACCAACGATTATTCACAAATCATGACGGCTCCATTTAGATTCTCATTTATTTATTTATTTTTATTTCAATATATATATATATATATATATATTAGTTGTCATACGTTTATCATCGTTATGTTTCATGCAATTGCAGTGACAAAACTCATGCAACTTGAGCGTAGTGAGAATTAGAGAAATTAGGTAATTAACAATTAGTACTTGCGAAGATTTGTCCTAATATCATAGAACTAGAGATTAAATAAAACTAAACTTAACAAAACTAAAATTAGAATTAACCTTTAGTTTGATTGGTGGTAAAACGTGAGAAGAGAAAACAAAATCAAAATCTGAATCAATTGGAATTTCATTATTTAATACCTTCCAGAATTAACATATCTTAATTCACACTTCTGACTTGAATTGAGTGAAGTTATTCAAATACTGGTTACCCAATCGACATAAGAATGAAATTTTTAATTCCTTTTCCCCTCCATTTTCTCGACAAACAAACGTAGTAAAAGTATTCAGTTATAGATTAGTCTAAATTATTAAAGAACACAACATATAACTTAGAAAAAAAAAACTCGTACCTTCACCAAAAATGAAGTTCCATAAATTTCTAATTAGCTCGATTATTCCAGTCAAATTCAAATACTGGAAAAGGCAAATCATTTGAAATAAAAAATTCAACATATAAATTTTGTATGCTAATTTTTCATTTTTAATTTTCACGCTATTTCGGAAAAGAAAACTCGGTTCTTCCATATAAACCTCTTTTTTGTTGTCGAGAAGGCAGAGGAGACGGATAGGAAACCAAAATTTGTGTTCTTCTTAGATCCATTTACTTACACCCCCTAGAATACACTTAGGCAGATTGAACACCTTTAACAAAAGGTAGTTGATGAAGTGGGTTCTGTAACTAAAAAAAATTCAATGTTTGATTATGGCTAACAATATAGTCAAGGCAAGTTATTTAAATTTTTAGCTAGCATTTAAAAATTGTAATTGTATCGTATCATTTAAGAACAAAATTGAATTTTTTGATTGTATTATTAATTATGACCCGAAAGAGCTTTGAATTGAAACAAATTTTTGGTATCCTAATGATTTTAGGGTTTGAATGTCATGATTTGAACTTTAAAGGTAAGATAGTTCTTATCATTTGTGCTTTTTTCTTTTCTTTTCTTCTTCTTCTTCTTTTTTTTTTTTTTTTTCTCCAATTTTCATGTCTCATTGATTGGTAAACACCTTATTTGACTTGATAGTTTGTTTGAAATCGAAGTTAAATTTACTTAAATGTCTGTTTTTATTAGGTTACATTCTTGTTCAAAACGATTTCTGTGCCTTTTCTTGATTAGTCTAAATTACTAAAGAACGCAATACATAACTTAAAAAAAAAAAAAAAAAACTCATTCCTTCACCAAAAATGAAGTTCCATAAATTTCTAATTGACTCGATTATTCCTGTCAAATTCAAATATTAGAAAAGGCAAATCATTTAGAATCAGAAATTCAACATGTAAATTTTGTATGCTGATTTTTCCTTTTTAATTTTCATGTTGTTTTGGAAAGAAAACTCGGTTCTTTTGTATAAACCTTATCATCATTTTCCCCTCCCCATCTCTTGGTTGGTGGGATTTTTCTTTTATGTTTTAGTCCTCTCTTTATTGTTATTGCCTTTTTGTTTGTGGGATGGGGTGTCTTGGGAAAAGGAGTGGAGGTGGTCTACCGTCTTCCTTTTTGTTGTATTTTGCTTGGGATAGTGTAATGAAAGTCTGAGATTTCTTCATAAATGTGTGTTTGTGTAAATAATAAACAGACGCAAAAAAAAAATAGACATGTAAACAAGCGGGTTCATGCATTCTCTAAGACATTTTGTTATCTTATTATAGGTGGTGGTTTTAAATGGATAGTCCATTAGGTGAAGGAGGCCGTAAACCCAAAATTGGAATGATGTTAAAGTCCGTTGAAAATGCATATGACTTTTACAATACATACTGACGTGAAGTTGGATTTAGTGTGAGAATAGATTATTCCAATAAAAACATTAAAACTGGAGAAATTACTTTTGCCCAATTTGTATGTTGTAAGGAGGGTTACAAAGTAAATGACAAAAGGGACCATCTTACAAAAAAAGCTAGGGCAGAAACAAGGGTCGGATGTGGTGCATTCATGCATATAAAATTTGAAAAGGGGGAAGGAATATATTTTGTAGACAGATTTGAAGAGAAGCACAACCATAAACTTATTAGAAAAGATTGCACTTATTTGATGCCTTCACAACGGAACATCTCTATACCTTAAGCAATTGACGTCGACTTGGCTGATGATTCTGGACTACCAGTTGGTTCTTCATATGAACTAATGGAACGACAATTCGGGGCAAGAGAAGCGCTTGGGTTTACAAAAGTAGACCAAAAAAATTATTTGAGAACTAAGAGACAAAAACAATTACAGTCTGGAGAGGCTGGATCCATATTTGAGTATTTTCAATCCCAGATGTTGGAAAATCCCTCATTTTTTCATGCGGTTCAGCTAGACAAAGATGACTTTATAACCAATATATTTTGGGCTGATGCAAGGATGATTATTAACTATGGTCATTTTGGAGATATTGTGTTGTTCGACACAACATACAAGGTGAATAATGTGAATCAACCATTTGCCGCTTTTGTTGGTCTGAATCATCATAGAGAAACAGTTATATTTGGAGGTGCTTTGATGTATGATGAGACATCTGATTTATTTGTATGGTTGTTTGAAACATTTCTTAAAGCAATGTCTCATAAATTTCCGAAGACAATTATAAGTGACCAAGATGTGGCTATTACAAAGGCATTAGCGTTGGTGATGCCCGAGACACACCACCATCTTTGTATATGGCATATTATGCAAAATGGTACGAAGCATTTAGGTAATGTTATCAAGGGTCTGGTGGGTATAACAGGCATTTTATTTGAGTTTATGATAAAACATGAGGACGAAGATGATTTTGAAATATGCTAGGAGTCCATGCTAACTGAGTGTGGTGTTCGTAACAACAAATGGTTGTCTGAAACGTATAATTTAAGTACTAAA